ATGCAGATTTAATAATCATTTACATAAAATATCCTCAAATTAAAGATATTTGCAAGTTTTACCATGCAAGAGCCATCTCACAAAATGATGGAATGTTAGTTATAAGTGAAAAAGTTTGTGAATGTAAGGAGAAATACTATTTAATGAATAATTTTAAAAGTGAAACTTTTAACAATTACGCACAAATAAATTTAAAGAGTACCTGTTTCACCAATTTACTTAATGGCTTTAAAGCCAACTGCACTAAAAAAAGGGAAAAAAAACAAAGAAATAGACATCATTCAGGATGGTGCCATATTAGTTTCAGGCAAAAATATCGTAGACAATACTACTTTGTTAGGATCGTATCTCCTTATATTCAACAACACAATTGTAATAAATAATATAAGCCACATAAATGATAAGGGTAAAATTCTAAAATATATATCGCATCATAGATATAGCGATTTTGAATTAGTTGATTATATACAATCAAATGATAAGCAATTTTCTTTTGATAATGTTAATATTTTAAATCCCCTTATAACATTAGGTAATACGGCCTTACCATTAACAACATTATTTTTAATCATTTTGATATTGTTAATGTTATTTTACTTCTGCTATAAATTAACCAAATTTGTACTTATTAAATCAATAAGAATACCGTCAGAAGAAATAGTGGAAAGCAACATTCAAATACTGTCAGAAGAAATTAGAGCTCTATCAGAACTTCAAAATGTATCGGGACGAAACATTTAAGAATGGGGGGAGTTAACGTACCCAATTCCATTGAGCTCTTATACGAGTTGTAAACAATCTTTGGTTTTCCAAAACGAAAACAATTTCAATCTTGGGCCTCCGCCTAATTGATTTCTAAGATGTACAATCTCAAGCGCCCCCGCCGCAATCCCATTCTTTGACACTCGCCTAAATGGAAAACCAATGTTTGCCCACACCCGGCTTCTCATAAACAATCTCACTCCCGGCTTTCTGCAGATCCTGCACTTTAGGCCTTTTACAGTTCTCTCTTTGGATGACGAAATCTAATACTCGGGATGGCGAAATCAATTGAAATGTTTATAGAAAAACGATTCCCGAAAGGGATCAACGATGCAAAGATCAGAAAGTTCAAATCAGTCTTGATCCAGCAGCGACACCGCAAAGTCTAGCTAAATATTAAGATCGCGCAATCCCTTGGCCCGGAATTCCTTTGTGACCCTCTACTTAAATCTATATCAGTGAAGTTCGAAGTAAAATAAAAACTTTTTAAAAACACAATCCGCTACCGCAGTTGTTTAATTTACACTCGTTCCATTATAATTTATGCTTGAAGTTTTCTTTGTGATCCCTGACCAGGGGAGCACACACACAGAACCTAGCAAACAGAAGGGACAGGAAATCACACGGAGAAAATGGGACAGGGCTGGGCTGGGCAGGGCTGGTGCTGGCTCCCCCTGTGTTGACAGCAGAGCTTAGCGCCACTTAATATGAGCCAAAGGCAATATTAACTTGACAGTGGCGCAACCTACTGGGAAGGGGGGACCGCGCTGCCTCTGGTGCTGTCTTCATTAGATGCTTTATTAACAGTTAATTAAATTTTGTGTTTAATGATTGGCGAGGCAAAAGTCAAGCGCCCCCAGCACTCACCACTCAGAACTCGGTACTCGGCAGTCGGGGAGGGGACTAGAGCTAATATTAAAAATGCTTGCGGCCTGGCATTTATTGAAGTTTTCCAAAGAGATCCAATTTTTGCCAGTCTGCCAGAGCCCTGCCTCGATTGTGTTGCCTAGGCATCGGATCTAGCAATTAAACGTTTAATGAAGCGAGAAATGCCTTTTATAATAAGTGCCCAACAAGAAATACCAAAACAGTTTCTGCACGAGTTCTTGGGGATGGGTGATGTGCGAAATGGAGCTGGCAATTCGCATAGAATGGGATGACATTCTTGGTTACTTTCACATTTTTCCCGCTCAAAAAGCAAATATAATTACACTTTCATTATAGCATTTTGTACATGTTCTGGGATTGGACTACACTCTTTCATTCTTTGACTGAAAGACTGGGTTATTCTGCCCCCACGGAAAGGCATAATTATGCAGCCAAGAGCCGCAAGTGACAAGCCTACAGTCTACAGAACCGTGGAAGTCCAATGAAAAAATAAGGACATACAAACAAGTAGAGCTGAGCACAAGGCGAGCCAGGCGTTGTAATTGCGTTTGAGTCGAGGACTCTCCGGGAAGATTCTCTGCGAGGACTCCACCTGCACCTCCACCTGACAGCAGGTGGCGTTGCCAGGGACTTAAGGGGCGTCAAGAAAAAGTCTGCTTCGCTGGCTGGGTTGCTGTTGGTGTTGGGGCCGTCATCAGCCAACAGAATTTTTTCAGCCAGTTCTTAATTTATGTGCGAGTGCAAACAAAATCTGAATGGTGGAGAGCAAACAATGCTGGCCATAACGTTGATGGGCCTCTGCTTCTGCCTCTGTCTCTGGCTCTGGCTCTGCTCTGGCCTCTGCGAGCATGTTTGCTCCTTAAAGACCTTCCACTTTAATGTTACATCACAAGAGAGGATGAAAAAGAACTTGGAACATCTCTTTGGGGAATAGTGGTGAGAGGAATGAAAAACTTTCGTGTGAGCAAAAAGATCCAACAAAAAAACAAAAAAAAAATGTTAAAAGACAAGAAAATCTTGGCAAGAGCTGGCTCTGAAATATTATCATAAATGTAGCTCGACGGTAGCTGGATGCTTTTCCTTTCCTGTTCTTTCATGGGATGCAAGAGATGATAACCGACTAAATGATGTCCTGTAATAAATATAGAAAATATGTTTATAAGCTGAAACTGAATAGTTGGGATGATAAAGAATAACCAACAAATTTCAACAAAATGATAAAACTCCAGAGAGACAGCTCCAAAAAATATAAAGGCAAATGCCTTTATTCTCGTTCCTGTTCTGAGCCACATTTATTTCTCCAAACTTCCAGGCCTTGAGCTTGTCATACCATACCACCTTTTGGCTGATACAAATCCTGACAAATATTTTGCTCATAATTTATGGCATACAAACACACACGCAGTGGTAAAAAAAAGAAAAAAAAACAGGTAACAGAATTACGCCAAAAGGCAAAAGAAATTCCAACAAAACTTGTCCTAACTAAAAAAATGGCTTAAATTACTTGCTCATGTTGGGCTTTTCTTTAATTTTTTTCTGTGACCAGAGCTCAGTTGCCTCAGATCATTAGTCGTGGCCCTTCCAGGGAAAATTATAATTAAAGTACGAGGGAAATCAATCACATTAAACCAACAAAAGTGCGTACCATATCAAGACCAAGTCAGGAGTGTCACTGTCACTGCTGATGAATGAATTTCAGAGATGAAAAGCACTGCATGTTAACGTTATTTTAATCAGGGCTGACGCAGGGAGCTGCAATTGAGACAGAAACGAATATCGCAGACAAAGTCCCACACTCAGTCCCGACCCCAATAACTGTGTCTTGTAGAAGCCTTTTCCCTCCATGTTTGTGACAACCTGGATATGGAAGCGACCTGCATCTCATTAAGCCACAGCGAAGCGAACAGTCTTGGCCATGGCTGTTGGGGATCGGATATCTACATACGTGAATGTATGTATATAAGAGTAAACTCATACGAGTATCCCCCGCAAGTGCCAGTAAAGAAATAATCATTCATTCACCATGGGGCCTTCTCGTCAATGACAATCTGGCTGAGTGGGCTGTAATACTTGGCTCACTGGATCTGGAGCTGGATCCATGTCAAGCCTTGTCCTGTCCGGACAGCTTGAGCATAGGCAAATTTAAGTTGATTTTCAAATCAATACAAGGAAGCCAGATGGATGGGTTGGTGCCTGCGTGATGGATTGTTTTCGGTACTCGCTTTTTTCCAGGTTAAATAAGGTAATTTTTCGGCAAAACTTTTGCTCACCATCAAACATTTGCTATAAATATTTGGACATTTGCGAAACTTTTTAAAAATGGTTGCCTAAAATCCAGAGTAATCCCACTTGGAGTTTTTGGAGTTTTCTCATTTATTTTATGGATTGGAAAGCCTTGTGTTCGCCTGACTTTTTGTTTTGATCTTCTGACGGCTCCTGACCGCAAGCCATCTATGGTAATGGTAATGGAGGTCGCTCACTGCCCTTTCCAATAAAATTTTTGCTCTGTAAGCCAAACAGTGATTGTCCTTTGACAATTTCCGACTAGCATAGCTTATACATTATTAAAACTCTGTAATTGAATTAAAGGTACGTTTTCTCTTGGTTCCTCTGGTTCCTCTGCTCTCGGGAGTAAGCCACAGGCAAATTAATTTTATAAACTTTCCAACAACCGCAGCCGAGTCGGAGTCGGAGTCGGGCACACAATTCCCCAGAGCAACTTTTGTGTAAGCAGAAAAATATTTCAAAAATTTAATTTCGTCTAAAATGCCTAAACGCGCTAAGAAAACAACGCAATGCGCGTTGACAGCTCCTCCTTCCACTTCCCCACTTCCCACTCCCTGCCCCACCCCACTGAGAAATGGCAGAGCTCACTTATTGCTCCCAAAATGCTGGTGCGTATACGTATATGGATGGTCTGTATATGGTCTGTCTAAGTTCAAGTTAATAACTTGAATAATGCCACATCATTTGGGCGACTAAGTGAGTCGCTGGCCCCTGGATATTTATAACAGCAAATACATCAGCGACAGCACCAGCGACAGCCGAGCTCCAGTCAGGGCGTGAAATATTGTTCGGAGAACTTCTCGCAGCCGTAGGACGCGCCTTCCCTTCCTTTAATGTGTGCAGTGGGGTGTGCAGGAACCCGAAAACAAGTGGCAAAAATCACTGTCAAGCTGCTTGCTCTGACAGCTTTGTTAACCAGGAGTTGAAACTTTGACTGAAACTGTGTAAAATGTAGAACTTTTTTCTGTAGACGTAGTATGTACAAAGATTTCTGTCTCGCAGGGGCTTGCCCTTGACCTGTTAGTCGATTCAGAATCATAACTCAAACAGAAATTTACAGAACAATGAGCACATTTCCAACAAACTGTACAGATTCTTGCCAGAATCTACTGATCGGATCTGATGGAGGGTCATCGGATCTTGGACGCCTGGCCAGTGGCATCCTTGACGATGTACTCAATCCACACCTAGAACTGGGGCACTTTAAGGACTCAGCCTCAACGTGCGAGTCCGTCGCCGTCAGCCAAAGAAGTGCGTCATCGGGAAAGAGCATCGTAGACAAGCGCCTGGAGTACTGGAAGAACACGCTTCGTCAGAGGCGAGCGCTCCAGGAGAGACTTCGGAAGGCAACCGGCAAGGAGCCAAAGGAGATGCTACTCAATCATCCCACTTACATTGACCATCGGGACAGGGAGACGATCAAGCGGATACTGGACCTGGCCCGACCAAGGGATCCCACTCAGAAGGAGGCCACCCTAGCTGAGCTCCATCCATGCGCGGATCCTGTTCAGGAGACTCGGCCTCAGAAAGACTTTGTGGAGATTGTGGGGATACCAGGACAAATGGCTGACGAGCTCCTTGGCACAGACGATTCTAGGAACTTCCCCAGAAGCAAGTGGATCAATTCGAAACTTCTGAAAGATCGCATCGTAAAGGATTTTCCCAATATACAGAGGGTGCTGGAGTACTATCCGAGCATCAAGAACTTGGAAATTGTCCGCAGGCGGCGCTTGGGCACTCCCCGCGGTAACACTGAGTCCCTGGGCCCCATATCCAGCTCCTCAGTGATCGACATGACGGAACCCGACAATCTAGCGAAGCCGACTATTTCGACCAAACGAAATCCAGGGTGCAGGTGTCAGCATGGCTGCACTGGCGCGTGTGTCCTCATCAATGGCATTCACTACAAGCCGCACGTTCCGGAGTTCTCGCCCATCCTGGAACGAACCTTCAGCTGCAATCCCTACCAGCACCACCTGCGCACCGTAATGCGAATCGAAAACAGTGGCGCAGATGTCATCAGGTTCACCTGGATGCGCGTCGGTTCTTTTGCATACAATGACACGCTCTTCGATGCGAAGGACAACGAGTTCGTCTTCGACGACAGTGCCTTCCGGCTAGAGCCCGGAGAGATTCGCGATGTGTCCGTCATGTTCCAGCCGCGAATGGTGGCGATTGTAAAGCAGCGATGGCTGCTGGCCATGCGGCCGCGTTTCTTCTTTTACCGTCCCTGTGCCCTAACCCTCAACTTGCACGGACGCTGTTCCCCTCCCAAGGAGTATCTCGATCGACTTGAGGAAGAGATAGCGATCTCGAAACGCAGCTCCGCACAGATTCTGCTACATATGGCTCTGCCTCTTGAGCAGAGACATCATATCTTGTGTCCCTATGATCGCGAGCTCGAGGACCGCGAGGCCTTCAACCGACGGAACAAAACCTTCCACTGCTCCACTCATGCGGACGCTGAGCAGCTCAAGGAGTTCTTTGCGGCGAACAAGCCCTTCCGATCCTATCCGAAGTGGGACTACAGTGTTCGGATGCTCATCGATCTGGTCTGTGACCACAAGGACCCGCAGAAGCGCCTACTCCTATTCAAGGAACTCACCGAAATCTTAGCGCGACTGCGCGGACAAGGGAGCGCTTTGACCGGGCCGCAGGAGCGCAGTTACACGAAGCTCAACTATGTGCGCGGGATCATCGTCAGCCGCATCGAGGAGTGGGAGGAGAAGGTCTGGCAGCTAGAGAAGCAGCTTCTCAAGTCCACGCAGCAGCGCTTGCAGGACCTCAGCGCCACGCAAGAGCAGGACAATGAGAATATACCCAGCTGCGTCGTGACCAAAGAGTCACACAATACCTTCCAGAGCGAACCTACGACCAGCCTGCTTATGGGGAGGCTAACGAAAATGAAATACTTTCGGGACTCCATTTACATATTCTCCTACGATCTGTTGTGCAACGCTGCCGAGGATATTGTATCCGTGATCGAAAGCACTGTTTAGATATAGGTCTTAACAGTTTGCAATTATATTCCATAGACATAATTCTTCAGATAATATGTTCATACCTGATTATGCCCTTAAATCCATGTTTTATACCACCCTCTATCCTACATTAAAATTTGTCAGAACATTGTAGCGCTTCTTGATCACAGTCAATATGTACCGATTTCCGTTTGTTTTTATGCAAATCATCAATTCTATACCAGGATTGAAGCTACATCTATGAAAGTTTTGCACAACGTCTTCGTTCATGAGTAAGGAAATCGCCTCACTTATTCATCATTATCTGAAGGGCAAGTTCCAGTTCCATAATCACGCCGAAACTTCCGGCCTAAATTAACATTTTAGTGGCAGACAAAGAATGATTACAATCTGCATTTGTCAAGATGACTCTGAGACTTTTAAATTCTGCCAAATAATGTAAGAGCAAGAGTACAAAAAAATAATAAATATATTCAAAGTTCATTACCCCATGTTAAATATTCGAAAAATCACAAAGCCTGAGTTCTAAGACCTCACTTAACCCACAGACTCGTGCACATTTCCAAGGGTTAATGTCCGTGACAAGGAGTAAGCTCAATAATAGAAGCATTCCATCCAGATTTACATAGGTTCATCTAATGCTGAACTCTGTCAAGTCAGCCTATGGAGGAAGCCTTTTTCTGCCCACTGCTTTCCGTTTTCTGCTTTCTGCTTTCGGCTTTCCTCGCTGGAGACAGTAAATATTTGCATGTGAGCTGTCCAGGTCAGAGTCAGACTCAGACCCCAAGCACCGACTTGGGGAATCCTTTTTTTTGGGAGCAGTGATGGGATACGAGTATGCGAGTCTGCCTCTGCCTCTGACCCTCTGCGAGGACGTTACTGTGTTTTTGGCCTGCTTGCCCGTTGCCTCTTGTCATGTAAATCTATTTTAATGTATGCAGCAATTAAAAATACATCAGTTTACTTTCGAGGCGGAGGCGCCTTTGACAGGCGGAGAACCTCTTCGGCATACTTCATGGCCCTGCGCCCGGGCATTATTGTACTTGTAACTGCGCCATTTTGGGCTCATTAAATTTCATTGCGTTAAATGTTTTTATGTCATGCATATATTGAGTAATTTTTTTCTAATACTGGTTTTTAAACCACTCTCCACGGCTGTGGGTGTAATATAAACATCAAATAAAAGCAATGAAGGGCTGGGAGGGGGTAGATGGGGCGGGGGGGCTACGGCGATGACTTGATAACATTCCATTAAATGATGATGTCAACCCGGATGGGTCTGCGATTCAATGTGGCACCTTCATTTACATAAAGACCAACACGTGTCGGGCCCATTGAACTGTCATCCGATCCGATCCTCTTTGAGTCCCAGTCCCTGTCCCTGTCGTTGCCTAATTACTCTCTGTGCAAAATTCATTAAATACCCTGACACCATAATCATCCTTGCCTGACCTTGTGTTTGTCTATCTGTGGGCTAAATTAAGTCCACATCGCCACTCATTAAAAAGAACATTTCCTGTTGAGTTGTTGTCGTCGTCGTGGTTGTCTCTCTGTCGAGCCTGCGGCACACTCTCCAACCACCTGCCACATGAGAAGTGATGAGTGCACAGAGCTTGTTTGTGTCACCATCTAATTGCGGCCAACTTAAAATCCACTCAAGTCATGAGCAGTCGTAATGTACTCTTACAACTGGATGTGGTTGCTTTTGACAGGAATGCGCATTCCCAGCTAAAACAGCTTGGCATACATGGTAAGTCCTCCTGCTGGGCAACGGGACAGGGATTCTTCTGGGAAGAAGTAAGATGGATTGTTGATAGTCGTTGGCCATTTGTTTCAGCCACATCAATTAGCAAACACATTTTTCGACCCAGAGCCAAAGAGTCACCACCTACGAGGAAGTTACATAAATTTCCACCCCATTGATTTATTTATTGGTCTGTTTCCTAAATATTTTATTCTATTCCCATTCCCTATTGATTTTGTTGGGAAAACTTTTGGCAACTGGACCATATAGAATATAATGTAAAAGAACAATCGCCGCATACAGACAATGGCCAAACAATAAAAGGAAACTTTTGTGTGTTTGGGTTTGGGGACCCTTTTTTGAGAATGGAGCGGAAACAAAGGCAAAAGTAAAATCATTAAAATTAATTACATAAACATTATTGTGCCGATGGCAATCAATGTATGTACGCACAGTACAAGACCGTTGAGGCAGCCAGCCCTCGGGTCACAGATGGTTCTACAATTTTCACTGGCTTGCGGCCAAGTCCCTCTATTGGCAGGCACACCGCAACACAATGCGTATACGAGTAATTTCCCTACGCGCACCCAGCGCATATTTACATGGCCCATTTCTGGGAGTAGGAGTGGGAGTGGTAGGGGGAGTAGACGATAATGAATACTTAATAAAGCGGTATTCAAGTTGCTCGACTCCGGGGGCGACAAACAAAGGCGACAAAAAGACCAAAGACCATGGCGAAGGCGAAGTTTACCTTTGTTTGACTCTCTACTCATACTCTATACTCTCTACTTTTCCCGTTACGTTCACTTCCCGTTTTCACTTGGTTTTCTTCGCCTTTTCCGCGAGGCTGGTCAGGAAATTTCACTTCAATTACCAACACCCAGGCGGCAGGCATTTAGCATTTAAGTAGATTCAATTTGTTGGCCGCTTTCGCGTTCATTAAAGCCACGCAAGCCATTTTTTTCTGCAGTGAATGCACCGTAACAGCTATAACTGTTTGGGGGTTATAAGTACGAAAACAAAAAAAGAGCATCCGTTGCGGATGGGATCTATAAATTAAATTTTCTATCCTTTATTCATAAAAATGCTGAAAAACCTTCTTCGCAAACAATTACTCTTGCAGTTTAACGACCGGCAAAAGTTTATTTGCTCTAAAAATATGTTTTCTTAGCTATTTTCTCAACATCTTGCGTCATTGTGGTTACTCTTAAGCCAGTATGTAGTGCTATACTGAGAATATGAGGCACGGATTATAAATGGAATGAACAAATGAATGCCGGCAAAACTAATGGCTATCGCTACAGAAATAGGGTGATTATGAACGGACAAATTTAAATGCAGTGGCAGGACACAGAACCAAAAGTCGAGAGCCTACAACTCAATGAAGAACCTTTTTATAAATACACCGCACAAGTGTATGAATCAGCTCAATTGAGAGCAAAGTTTGGATTGCCCTCCAATTCCAGTATCATCAGGTGATGACTGATACCAATAACGTCTAAGTTAAAATAAGTCCACTCCAAGGTCTACTGTACTCAAAATAAATATCTAATTTTAGATTTAAAATTAATATTTTAAGACGCTAAGTTGCTCTTGCTTTTCACATGAGCTTCTTATAGGAAATGGCTCACCAATTTGCCATCGAAGCCCAACATGCAAATTGATAGCATCATCACAATAACAAATCGATATATGCGCCCACGCCCACAGATGACTACGAACGCCAGAACAAAATTCCATATAGACAACCGCAATTGGAGCGTTATTTTTGTGCCAATAAGGCAAGAGCTCCATATTGGACGGGTAATTTTAATTAAAAATTGTCAAATTCCAAATGAGGAGGGAGACATCAAATATTCAATAGAAAATCAAAAAGGCACATTATTAAAAATGCATTGCACTCAAACGCAAATTAAACGCAAGTCGCTGAGATTTTTGCTGTCATTGGGGATAGAGGAAACTTTTGCAGATTGGAAAATTAAACCGTCAGCAAAGCTGCCGGTTTTAAATTTCCCTTTAATTTAATTTAATTCGATTTTCATTTATTACACACCGTTGCAACATCATTTTTGCTGTAAGACGAGCTGAATATAAAACAGAATACATTATATCCCGAACAATTTAAAATTAAAACCAAGGATTAATTAACCCGAGTATTGTTCTTCTCCCGTTCGAGGTGGTAATGGAATGGATTAAATAATTAAAGGGTGATTAAAATTGCATGACATGCAAGCCAACGTCGTCTGTCAACGCTTCGCTCAGTACCGTATACGTATACGTAATGCAGTTTTATGGAACACGCTCTTGACAACCAGCTAATGCTAATTAGGGCCCACCGGGGGCCAGCAAGGACAGGACAGAACAGGACAGCACAGCATAGGAGGGGACAATGTCGATTTCGATTGCCCAGAAGGCCACTGAAACCATGACAAAGCAGGGGCGTGGCACAGTTTTGTTTGTTGGCCTGGTCATCCTGCAATCCGATGCCCCTCTACCCGATGATTGTGCAGACTATTGGAGCCGGTCTATGGTCTAGCGACGGGTACGATGCACAGTGAAGCCCTAGCCGAATTCAGATGGCAAAAATATAACATTTTATGAGAGCCTTGGATGACTTGAATATACGCATTTGATGGAGTACTTTTTTTTTGAGCTGTCAGAAATGCAAACTTGGCTGAAATCGGATATATGAGCATTCAAAGTAGACCTTTTTATACCCTGTATTCAAAGATTTTCCGACCCCACAAAGAATATACATATATTCTTGATCAGCATCAGCTGTCCGTACGTTCGTCTGTTTTGTCCGTGTCCTACCACATTCCCCCACAATCCATTAATAAAAAATCAGTGTGTAAAAAGTGTCTGTACTGATTTTTGCAAGCTGAAATGTCCGAAAGCCCCACTGTGCTGTGATGTTGCTAATGTTGAACTAGGAACAAAGCAATGTTTGAATGTTTCCATTTTTATTTGCTCTGAGACATACATTTCTGTTTCAAGCCCATTCAAATGCGATTTGCTGCTTGGCAAAGTCTCAAACCTAGACGACATAGGAATTCAGACAAATTGGCGTAAGCCGCTTTCATGACAAAAGGTTATACGGAACCATCGAAGCCTCTGATGTGGAATGACTCAAAAGATATACATACTTGTATATGATTGTTCGACAAATGCGTGGGAATTAAGCCTAAAAAGCACATTTTAGCTATCTACAATAAGGGGGATAAATTCAGATGATGTTACTCGTGAATGCCTTGAACAAATTGAAATTGCCAAGAATATTCGCTCATGTGTCCACCCATCAATATGTCAATCACTAATCTTATTTTCAACTCTTCTTCTTTGTGTCTTACAGATTTTCGAAACGCATTTCTAGGCATTTTCACGGATGGATTTTCATTGAATTGTGCTGGCAATTCAAGCCAAAAATATGCAGGGATTTGGCGGCTGAATGCTGGAGAGTCCTATTGTAAGTCAAACTCACGAAATAAGAAGAAGAAAAGGAAGAAAATGTGGAAAGAAATGCTGATAAATGCCAAATCAAGTGACAACGATGCGTAAAAAGTGGGAAGGGAGGATGGTCTAGCAATTGGCTGAAACAGCTACACAAGTCGTTGATATAAAATATGTATACATATGTTAATGGGAGTGTGTGTGTGGTGGGTGTGTGGTTACGGATGCATGGATGTGTGGGTGTGACTGGTCCTGGAGGCAGTGCTCGTTCTTTATTCAGCTATTTCTGCCGTTTTATATTGTGTTTTTTGGCCATTCAAGTCGCGGGAATTGCCGCGCCATTTCGCCTATATATGTCGTATACTAGTCCTCGTACAATGCCTTGAAGGAAGGGTGACTCCCATCCGCAATTCCCCCGAACGTTTGCTTTGGTCGGATTCAATTTGTACCTAACAATTGTCGAACATTTGTCGTTGTGGTCTTGGCATTCGCCAGACGCAGGGAATTAAATTTCCTGTGCCGATGTGCCAGTTTTTGGCTCAATTGTGTGGAAATATGTCAACTTAAGCCCCTGCCCCTTCTTACCAGCTTTTGATGGACCCGCAGCCTCAACAATGGCAGCTGGAAAACCAGCTACGAAAATAATTTGCTCGACTTTTGAAGAGCGAAACATTTCAACGGCTGATGGAGCACAGCAATGGAGCCAGAAAGCGGACGAGAATACATACAGAGAAACATATGTAAGCTGACATTGATGAGATTTGGTCGGGCCAAAGCCAACCGAGCCAACTCGGAGAATATACTCGTATTGAAGCTGGCTGACAGCTGGTTGCGGATTCGCCTTCAGGCATTGAATCGATATTTAATCTAAAATTGTTTCCGACCATGAAATGGAGTTTATTAATGCCACATCCGGCCTTGGACTGAAGCCTTTTATAACTTTAAACTATAATTCTCTATGCAGTGTTTTGTGCATCCTCTATTATCGATGCCTGTTTTTGTTCTCCAAGTTTCCCATTCAAGTTTCCCCTGGATGCTTGTTTTTCTTTCGGGGCCTGTCATTTATAGCCAATAGTTGGGTGTGTGGTGTGTGTCTTTATTTAAATAATTAACTCGGACTGCAGGCAGTCTTGCGCATAAAAGTTAAACTATTATATGATCAAATATTTCATAGTTAATAAAATGTTTAGGTCTAAGGCAATTGCAGCTCGAAGCGCTTGTAAAGTGTTTCCGAGCATAGTATAAGCATGTAAGCAAACTGTACGAGTATATCCAGAGGCATAATATATGTATATGTTATATATGTACGAGTAAGGGGAGATCTATAGCTATACGAGTGTCAGCTTAGGGCATCAAATGCTAAATATAAACAAGAAATGGGGTAGCAAGGGGCAAACACATAAATAAACCAAAACCATAAAGAAAAACCAAAAGTACGCAAAATTGTGCTGACCACGAGCCCCGCTTTTGGAAGTTTATGTCTAGCGATGTCGGGCATCATAACCACTATACTCATCCTCCCCGTTCCCGTTCCCATTCCCGTCCCCCTTCCCTGTTCCCTGTTCCCGTCTGCATCGTAAAACAAGCTTTCAAAATATGTGTCAACGGCTTTGCTGTACTTTTGGTTTTTTTATCGCAGTTTTCTGGCATGTTTCCATTGCGTATACGTAATATAAGCTAGTTTAATTATAGCCAAGTCGATAGAAATTATTTGGATAAGGAAAATAATTAGAATACTCATCGAACTGTAAATTTAATCGGAAATTGCACTTAAGTGTGAGAAAGTCTCATTTAATGTAAGAGGCAAGTGTGAAACATAAATATTATTACAAAAATAAAGAAATGTGTGTAAGTTTAGCCAAGATTAATAGTATGTTGTTTTACTCGTAACGCCCTATTAAGTGCGGTCAGAGATAGTGATTGAATGGACAAACGAATGGCAAAGAATTTCGACATATGGAGGGAGAATTATTAGAAAATAATATTAAGTAAGCACATACTATACATACCAAAAAGTTAAAGCATAGAACTAATTCTATAAATAAGACAAAATTTATGTAAAATAAGAAATACAGATATAGATCTAAGCATTGATAAGAGTTACGTACGAAAAAATTTGTCGACATGTTGTGTGTTTCTGTATTTGAGAGTATTTAACCACTAGTTAAGGGTTTTTAGAAACAAAACCTAAACCCCAAGACAGGTCAAATATTATTCAAAGAAAATACATACATACATACATACATACATACAAACATACATGTTTAAAGTTAATGAAATTACGTGTATCCCAAAGTTGAAAAGAAACCAAAGAAAAAATGTGTGTGTTTAAATATGAATAGAAAACAGGGAGTACGATTAATATCGCGAACGGATGACAGATGCCGCCGCAGCTGAGTATTAAAATGAATATCAAAAAACCATACTTATGTAGTGAAAAAGGTGTTTTAAAATGACAATTTATGAGAAACTAAATAAATAATGGATGTTAAAAAAGAAACGGGTGAATACGTTTACATTGGGGCTACATACGGAAGCAACAACATTGAAGCAAGCAACATTTGATTGGATTGAATTCCGGACGAAATATTGCTGGAATGTATGTGCGGAATTTTCGTTGAGTAGGAAGTGGGAAGCAGGTGCTGTATCATGCCGTGGCATACTTTGATCAGATAAATAACCAACTGGCAAATAAGGACAAATGTGGGGACAAGCGATTTGTCGCTCGGTAATTTATATTCATATCGTAGCAGTGTGCCACAGCTGGGCCAACAAACAACCTTCTGTATCGGCATTTACAGTTGTGGCAATTCCCGCAGCAAGTGCAAAAACATCAACAGGTTCGGTTCTAGGTGTGTCCCTCGTCTTAAATTTAAATACAGACATGGTGATAGTTCAGACAAGAAAGCTCATGGCACACATATTGTACTTCAGCTTATTCTCACCGCTCGGAAAGCAAGAGAAAAAGCAAAAGGAAGCTGAAGTTTCACATTTTTGTACTGCTCCATTTTGGAAAAGTTTTACCTGGTATCGCCAAGAAATTTGAACTTACTTTGCAGACGTTTATTAAATATTTAAAACTTCCCCTTCGCATTGTTCTTACTCAACTTTTCAGGTTGGAATTTTCAGGTATTTACGAACGAAAGGATCTGGAGTAGTTCGTTCAATGCATATAAAATACAGCCGTTATGAGATGGCAGTTTGACATTTTGATTGACAAATTGATAAACGCTGCACTTACTTGTACTAATTAAAACATTATTATTATTAATACCGCACTCATGGTATGATTTACGTTATTTAATTTTGCTGAAAGCTTGTGCCTCTACATATCAAACGTGGGCTCTCATTTCTGATTAAATTTAAAATGATGCATATACGAAGAACTGTTCACAATAATGTGTAAATTAATATTACATTTTTTGTTCCATGTACTAGTTTTTTGTCTTTCATTGCTTGTACAAAAAGTGCGCAATTACCGACTGAATCCCTTTTTAATTAGCTTTATTACAGTAGGGAATCTATACGTTAGGCACTGGCTACCGACCACAGACCGAATGGTTAGATGATAATTTTGCAATTATTTGTGGTCGGTCGTTGGGCGATGCGGCAAGTGAGGTGCACCTGGTGATTGATGCTGATATTTAGACCAATTTTCGTAAATTGAAACAATAATTTAATTAAATTTCTGAGCCAATTATTTTGCATTATGGTATTTGATAAACTATTGAATTGAATTAAAATAAAAAACGCAGAATTAACTCGAACCTTTCACAGTGAACATTTGAGATAACTGCTATTTATATTTAGTCATTCGCAGAAAAATAAATCTCCAGTTACCGTGGCAGCTTCTGCTGGACTGATTGCACCCATATCAATATTTCGAATTAAATGTAGCTTTTAGAGCAGAAAACTAATAAACTGTCCGGACTAGAGCACTTCATCAAGCCCGAACCGCCGTCAGGACATGCTAACCAGAAACTTAATCATTACGAATGTGCGGTCGTAAGTAATCCGTAAATAGCAGCAGCTCGTTCATGGGTCTGTGTCCAGCCGCTACCTGCGGAAGCGGAAGTCCCCTTGTCGGAGAGTGTTTCCATATTCAATTGAATTCAGACTCATATCTGGCTGATAGCAGTGCAGTCGCACCAGTAAGAGTATTTTGGATGAATATCAGTAAGTAAAAAGCGTAAAGTTGTTACAGTTGTGGTTCGAATCATTCCTTAGAACATTTGGAAAATGGTCGTTTTGTTAAAACATTTGAGAGTAAGCTAAGAACAATTTTTCCCTTGACCTTGTCGCAATTTCAGGAGCATAAACTGCCATTTATAAGTACAAAATGATATCCAACGTTATGTGTGCGATGTCCTGGCAACTAGCTGTTGTCCTGGCCACTGGCCATTGGCAAGCAAAAGTTATATGTTTGTGGATTTCCTTGTCATACTTTTTCTGCAATTCGTGTTCGTGTGACCTGAATTACAGTATCAGGGAGAGAGAGAGAGAGAGAGAGAGAGAGAGAGAGAGAGAGAGGAAGTGGGCCAAAATATAAAGACAGAAACAGAACTCAGCAAAGCACAGAATAGGAATAGTTTTTAACATTTCAGTTTGATGGTAGAATAAATGTAACGCCAGCCACCATTCTTCCGTGAGTTCCGAATTAAAAATCCCACATAGAAACGATTGTAGAGAAAGAAAGTTTGGATGTAAAGGTCTTCAAAAGGGCATGTAGAAACAGGTGGAAAATTTCAATAAAGCATGGCCAAAAAGCGTGTAAATTTAATTAAAACTAAACGACAATGGGAGACATGCAAGCAGGTCCTACACTTCACTCCCCACGACTTCACGACTTCTCGTGACTCTCGGAAGTGGAACAAAGTGAGCCAAAACCACTTTACCGACACATTCCAGCCACGAAAAACAACAAGAGGAACGCATGAGAACTTCCTTTGTATACGAACGTGCGTGGATACGTGGTGGGCGGAAAAGTTTTTGCCGGAAAAGTGTCACTCAAAAACAGCAGAAGAAAACAACAGAACTTGTGGCAAGTCAAGCAGCGAACTCAAAGGAAAATGGAAAAAGCTTAATTAATTGATTGAAGCTCGAGATGGTAACGGTTAAATTAGGGGAACTACAAACTGAAAAATATATTCTTTTAAATCGATTCTCTCGATGGACATCCTAGAGCTACTAGCACTTTGAGAATATGAAATCACCTTTCCATACTCGTACGAGAAACAGCGTAATGAAACTGTCTGCGGTAGCTGTACACTCCAAAAGCAGCCAAAACACTCGTTGAACAAATGGTAAATTAAGTTTCAAAAACAGCTTCCACTCATGGCAACTGCAGGTTGCTCTTGTCACTGTTTCTAAAAAGTCGAGCTGGGAAAAAGCAGAACCAAATGGCTGACAAGTGCACGCCGGGCCATGCCAGTCAAACTGCTTGACTCTTGTGCTGTCTGTGCTCCCTGGCCATTTAACTGCTGCAACCATCCCTGTTTCAACTGCAGTCGAGGTTTGTGTGCCCTAAAAAGTTTCGGCTCCAAATGACATTCAAACTAGTTAAACTTACAGAAGTTGCCAGCAGTCCATGGTCTGACAAAAAATCCAGAGTACCAAGGCGATGTCATGGGTGGCCCTTAATTGAATTGAATGCGTCGGCTTCCGCCTGTATGATGGCTTCTGCTATTTTTGCTGTTGTTTAATTATCACTTTTTTAAGACGCATTAACATAAATTACATGAAAATAAATAAACATAAATAAATAAACAAACAAAAGAAAAAGATACAATTAAAGTCACAGCGAAGTCTGGCATTTTTGTCACTTTTTTATGTAGTGTGTAATTTATTTTCAATTAACTAAGAGTTAAATATCCACCAGCATAATGAAAGTGGTAAAAAGCGAGGTCCATTAGCAAATGAAGTGGGGAGCGACTACCAGTTGTCAGGAGAGCAAGGTCATCGTGAAAATCTCCCTCTCGCCCTTATAAAGATCTCTAGAACTTGTGAAAAATACAAGTTTAATATCATCATAAATTGTAAACTAATTGAAAAAGAGAAAAGAAACTTCCAGATCAAGTAGAGCGCTCATTTCAAGTGCCAGAACAAGGGACATGGGATGTCACATGATGTCCTTACCTCGACCCA